GGGATTGATTCGTACCCGATTTGTACCGTTTCAAACTCGATTTGTACTATTACCGTTTTCAGGCTATTGACCGTTAAAGATATGGCGCCAAAAATATAAAACACTCAACATTTATTTTTTTAAAAAATTTTTTAACGTATAACGGTAGAGAATTTTTTTCTCTTCCTAATGATGCCTCAAATTAAGCTTTATCTTCATTATTTATTTCGGAAATCAAATTTTAACCCTTATATTATAGCGTGAAGTTAGCCCCCCCCCCCCCCCAATATTCAAAATATGAGATTTTTCAAATTTTTAAAAAGGGATTGATTTGTACCGATTTGTACCGTTTCAAACTCGATTTGTACCGTTTCAAACTCGATTTGTACCATTACCGTTTTCCAGCTATTGACCGTTAAAGAAATGGCGCCAAAAATAAAAAACACTCAACATTTATTTTTTTTAAAAATTTTTTTAACGCACAACGGTAGAGAATTTTTTTCTCTTCCTAATGATGCCTCAAATTAAGCTTTATCTTCATTATTTATTTCGGAAATCAAAATTTAAACCTTATATTATAGCGTGAAGTTAGCCACCCCCCTACCCCCCCCCCACCCCCCACCCCCAGTATTCAAAATTTGAGATTTTTCAAATTTTTAAAACAGGATAAATTTGTACCCGACTTGTACCGATAATGAACATTATTCGTTACGTAATTTAACACGCAATATATATATCTTTACTATTTATTTCATCAAGATAGAAATCCTGAAACCCCTACTTCCCAACCTCATAGGATTTTTTATACATTTTAAGAGAAAATTAAAAATTATTCTATCTGCTGAATATCCTCAGCAATATAAGATTTGCAATCTAAATTTTAAATAGTTAAACATTTTAAAAGGGGGTATGTCATTAAATTATTTTTCTGGCATCCCCTGCCTTTAGAGCCTGGCATAATTTCCTTTTAAAAATTAAAAATACGTATTTTAAATTTTTAAGAGGATATTAAAAATTATTCTATCTGCTGAATATCCTCAGATGTCTAGGATGCAAATACTGCACATTCAAAATAAACTCTCAATTCGCAGAGAGCCGATCCGACAAGCTGTTCATAATTTGATCAATTATAGGACGAAATACTCCGAACCTATAAAGATCAATCGATTCTTGAGGACGTTTATCTTGGCATTTGTCACTATATATTCTCTTCGCTCGTCCTATTCGATTTTTTGGCAAATCATTCTGTACCCTGATACTCTCCTGGAGCTTTAAATATTTAAGTGTTTCATTTCAATTAGAAGCCATTTTATTGCTTTATTTTGAATCGATGAAATAATCGATGATAAAGAAGACTTAGCATCTTCTATCATTTTCCATGCTGACAAAGTGCCTAATTTTTTAGTTTGAATACGACAGTGGCCAATTATTTCAAAAATTTCCAAATATATTATAGCTGTTAGAGTCTTAAATTTACATAAATTATTAAGTTTTTGTATCAAATAATTTATTATCTATTATAAATTGAAGTGCATTTATGGTTTATTGGGAGCAAGCTCTCTTTATCATATATCCTCTAAGGGCTTTTTCACGTGCCCATACCTTATCTAACCTATTCTTTGCAGCTTTCTCAACTTATTTTGGCCAGATGAATTATTCTGTTTCACCCAAGCATTTATCCTTTAATCTGACTCACCGACCTGGATTTTGATTTCAATGAATCAAGAACAAGAAATGTTGGCTATATTATTTCTGGAGTGAAAATTATTTTAGTGGCCCTTTAAAAAAAGCTTAAATCAATGTATAAAAATGTAATATAATTAATTAATCAAAACTTAGCTTTCACTCTACTCAAACGGAAGCGTTTTTACTTCATTTGAAAAAACAAAGAAAAGAACATGGTAATGATGTATAGCATCAAGCGATGTTACTGGTATTTTGTGCATAAAATTATAGTAAACGACATGACAATTGTCAAGGAATGTGATATTCAAATCATAATGATCTCATTAAAAATAAATAATGATAAGAGAAAATAATGTGAACATAATAAAAAAAATTTTTGCTCCAAACCTAACCATTCGATATAATTTTAGGCCCCCACAAATCATCCCCAAAAAGTTTCCCGGCTCCTAAATTTAAAAAAAATAGATGAAAATCAAAATTTTTAGGAAAATTTTAGTTTTCAAAATTTTATTTACCCAGGGTTATAAAATATCACTTATTAACCATTAAAAGAATAAACAACAAATAATATCCGCCTTTTTTATTCCTCGGCAAAAAGACACGAATTGTTGAATTGTCAGTTCCCATGATGATTCTCCTCAATCTCTTTTAGAACATGTCAGTCAATGTTAGCAAGATTTAATTAATAAACAAGATAAATTGTAGATATGCTTAACACGCGATGATACCTCTAATAAGACCAATATATGTCAACTATTAATATAATATTTTAAAAAATTGAAAGAGGACGAATATTCTTACATGAAGAGGACAAATACTTTTTCAAAATGCCTATATTTCTATTGAAGTTTAAGTATTAAAAATGGTAAACTATTTCCTGCCTATCACGCAATCATACCTAAACTTTAATTATAGATTCAATATTATATCAAATACTAAAATAATTTTAAAAGGACGAATATTTTACTATGAAGGACGAAATTTCTTTTAAAAAACCAAATTTTCTAGTGGATTGCGCCTACTCAGGCACAGGGAAGTACTCAGGCAGACACCTTACATTATAATTAGTAATTACTTATTTTGTATATTTATTTTATTTTTACAAATTTTAATAAAAATACCAAAATTTTTCAACTGAGAATTCCTGGCTACGGGCTTGTCTAAATACTTAAAAATATAAGGCATCTTGTATTTATTACTATTTGAGACAAATATAAATCATTTTATTTAGTTAAATATTAATTTTGTCATCCGAGTTTCGATGAAGATCATATAGACCTAGAGGGTATAGAAGTTCCAGCAAATTATTTTTATTATATTTACAAGATATATTTAGTAGAGTATCTGGAAGAGCCTTAACATTTTCTACCTCATCTTATTAGTCTTTAAAATTCTCCAAAATTCGTCGATTTAAAAAATAATCTTTAGTATAAAAAAAATTGTTACAATTGAAATATTTTGTAAAAACGTATTCTTAGAAGGATTTGTATTTTAAATGCTTTTTTCAAAAATAATTATAAATTGGAGTATATTTTTTTTAATTTGCCAAATCCTGATTACACATAATTAAAACATTTCTAGAAACTCTTGGGAAATGTAGGGTTGATTATTTTGTAGAAAAATGAAGATAGGTCGGTGCAGCATGGACCGAAGCCCAAAAAATTAAATGTCCTGGGGATAAATGTCATGAGACACTTCTCATCATAATTTTTAAAAAATAGTTTATGGATTATTAGTTTAGGTGATTTTTTTAAACATTATATTTAAGTTCGAATGTTATACTTTCTGGTCTAGAAAAAATTTTGATTTCTGAACTTAAATCTCCCAGATTAAAATCTTGACATAATTTTCCCAAAACATATTCCTCTGAAATATTCAAATAATTTAATTCGTTTAAATAAATCGAATATGAAAAAGTCACTATTCGATTCGTTTGAATAAGCTATTACAGCATAATCGTAATTGTAACTTGAGCCAATAGAATACTAAATCGCCTTACCAGCTTAGCAAAAGACAATACAGGGTTGGTAAAAATTATCATTTAAAAAAAATCTAGTTATTTGATTAAATTGCGATTTTTTAAATTTAAATAAAATTTATATTTAAAATAATTAGACAATACCACCTAAAGGTAAATACTTTCTGTGGTTATTACTCGATCATACAATTCACATTTAAAAATAATTTTAACCTAACATATTCTGATTCTGAGTAAATTTAAAATAATTTTAAAAATGTTTGATTTTAATTAAATTTATCTTATAAAATAAAATTGATAGTTATAAACTTGCATTTTAATTTTAATATCAGGAAAAAAAATTAAACAATATTACAAAACAGAATATACTTCAGGATTAATACAAAAATAACCTATATCATTTATTAAAATTATATTTTAGCAATTAAAACTTATATGCAAAATATAGTAAAATGGATAAGCGGAAAAAAAAATCACTGGAAAATTATTAGCCGGGAAAAAATTCTTCTGGAAAAAATATTCCCCAGAAATAAATTCCCCATTTTTTAGATCTTAAAACAAATATAGTGGCAAATAAATCCCCGGAAAAAATTTCCCCCAATAATTTATTTTTATTAAAAAATAACTCCGCTGCTAAAAAACGAAAATATTTCTTAAAAATTAATATATCAGTATGATGTACTATGTTACAATTTTTTTAATTTTTAGAAGCAAATTGGTAAAAATACATGGGGTATAATAAAATGTTCAGATTTTAAGTCAAAAACTAAACTATTTAAATTCAAACAAAAAAGAGAATTATTTAAATCATTATTCTAATTCAAAAAATCGTTATTCTAACCTTACTAATTACCCAAAATGATTTTTTAGCTAGAGTCCATGTTAATTCCATAGAACCAATAATGACAATGGGTTAATTCTCATTGGCCATTTTTCTAAATGGATACTAATATAATAAATTTCAATTAAATGTCAAAGAAGTTTGTGAATATCTTAAGAAAATCTGCTCGATTTAAACTTTCACACCAAATTGAAAAAGCCTTTTAAGGTTTCTTAAGAATATATATAACTTTCATCAAATTAATTAAAAATCTAGTAGAATTTTTAAAACTTCACATTATAAAAGTGGACCATATAATTTGCTATAAATATAAAATATATACAAAATAAACCAAAAAATAAATGCACCATTAATATTGGTAGAACTACTATCGTGCATTTCTAGAAAAACTATTTTTCTAGCATATTTTATATTTAAAAACGTGATTAATTTTTTTTTACTACAAATTAATATACAAATTTATTATATTTTTACAATTTACACAAAAAATTTTTTTTAAAAAATTAGGCATGGTAAAAAAAAATGCGCAAATAATGATATTTGGTAATATTTTTTGTAATTGTTTATATTTCAACAACCTAAAAATCAAAACGCAAATTGATAATGATAATACAAATGATCAAAATGTTTTATAAATCAGATAAAACTTTTTTAAATCTATTATTACAATAAAAAAAAATTAAAAAAATATACGAATAATATAAAACCAAAACATATTTTTTTAAATATACAATGAATTATAAGTGAATGGAACGAAATTTTTTTCAATCAGTATTAAGTGCTGAATAATTGTTGTAGTTAATTTGTTTAGAGGAAGAAGGTATATTGGCAGATGGTTTATTACTTAAAATCGTAACATTGTGAGTTAAAGGATTGGGTTGCAGAAGAGGTTGGTATGGATTGGAATGGGCAGAATGAAATGGGGGAGGAGAAGCAGCGTTAGCTATATTTCCACCGTATTGAATAAGGTTCGTGGTCGTGGGGTTAACTACTATGTTATTGGGATTATCCTGAAACTCTTGCGGATATATAACGACCGGAATTCCTTTCCTAAATAATGCCTTGTCATCTTCCGTAGTGAATCGAGGTTTGTGGGTCCGTCTTATAAGATACATGCAAAAGCAAAATACAATTAGGTAAAGGTTTGATAATTTTTCTAAAAAAATTAAATGTTATTTTCTTGAACTATTATGCAAATTCTTAAAATAAGGCCTGTTTTTGTAAAATATTTGCTAATTTCTGAAATAGGTAGGCCTAGGTTTAAGGTGATTTTTAACCTTTTTGTTATCGTACCCAAATTAAAATAATAATGTCGAGATATATTGTCGCCTGAGAATTAGGTTATTCCATTTCCAATTTTTGTCAAAAATGATTTTTTTAAAGATCTATTATTTAAGAATGTATTAATCTATTTAACATAAAAAAATCTTAACTTTTAACATATAAAATTATTCTATCTCTTCTTATTGTTAAAATTATATTATTCCATTTACAAAAAATAATCAATCCATCCCATCATATAATTATTTAGAACGCTTTCAAGTATTGCGTAAATGAAATTAAGAGTTATTTTAACTGATTGTATGGTCCTATATAAAGATCCTGATATTACTGATATAAAAAATTTTTTTTTATCATTATTTAAAGAAAAATAATATACATTAATTTTATCCATTCCATCAAAATATCATATTTAAATTTGTAAAATAAAATATTAGTCGTTATCTTGTTAACATTAGTAATTAATTATTATTATTCAATAATATTTTTAGATAGAATATTATTTCTTAAAATAATAAAAATAAAATTTGGTATTTAATATATCTCCAGTTTTAGTATAATAAAAATAAACAATTTTTTGAAAAATATATCATGATATTTTATATAATTAGTTATGAGGAACTATAAAATATGCATATCCTTAAATTAAAAAAAAAATTAACACAGATAAGGAATTTTTCAAATTGCTCTCTTTTAAAATTGGAAAAAGTGGCGATAAAATAATATAATTCTCAGACGACGATATGTCAAAAATTAAGATTGGCGCAGAAAAGCAATTATATTTAATTGAGGCCTAAACTTATGAGTATTTAAAAAATATGTTTTTTTTTTCTTAACTTTAAAAAGTTAATTGCCAATTTATTTTTAATAAAAAACAAATTTTAGTCATAATTATTTATTTTTTAATAAATTAAGAAAAGGCATTAGGCAAAAATGTAAATATTTGCCAAAAGTTTTAATTTAAAAAAGAATACTCTATGATTGTAAATAAATTACTATCTCTTAAAAAAAGATTAAAATGAGTATATTATACCTATAAAGACAACAGGCTATAAGTCCCGCCAGTAATAGGAGGAGAGCCATAACAAGGGCAGGTATGATGGTGGTTAGCCAGATACTCCTTTCGTGATTAGAGCTAACGCTTTCGACTGGGGAATTCCCCGCCTGCTTAACGCTTTTAAGCGGAGCAGGTTTAAAAGGGTAACACGAATGCAGCAATTCGTAGCCGGCCTTTTTGACCTTGTAGTCTGGACCCATGGCCTTTTGAAAATCGGGATTGATGGCAAACTTTCTTGCCGACTTGTTTAGAAAATCGTCGTTATTATTATTACTATTTTCGAGTCGAACAAATTTCGATGCTATTTTCTTGATCGAATCGTAGGGACAGCCCTGTAAGCGACTATAATTGTAACCTTTCTCCTTGATGTAATCTGAAAATGCTTCGAGGGATAATTTATCGGGAGTTAGTAAGGTATCGTTGATCCAATTAACCCGTACCGACCCCTTCTCTATCGAATCGATATATATGTTTTGAGAAAGGGAGGTGTTGATGACTGGATTAGCGTTTAAAATGTTAGAATTATTACCGTAGTAATAATAATTCAAAAGTTTGGATAAAAAGTTTATCTGGCTGTCTAAGTCCGATTTGAAATCGTAACCTCCTCTATTGGTCGCGTTCCCATATCTCCCCTTATTCCCGAGCAGCCTGCTTCTATATTCAGTATAATTGACAGAAGGGGCATCCATAGATATCCAAAATCTATGATTTACACCTTCATCGTAAAGAGATCTAAATCCTTTGGGTCTATTATGAACGAAAACCGTAAAAGCATTATAAACGGATATCCCTCTCTTATTATAAGCCGCTAACATCAGTTGGTGCAGGCCCAAGTCTGAAGTGGTAGGAATACCGTATATTCGAGGTGGTAATCTAGAGTCTAATTTGATCCAATTGTATCTAATATAGTGAAATAATGATTAAGAGAAAGGATTAACTTTGGTATAAAAATCATCATTGAAAAGGTTGAACAGAGTAACTTATGTATTAATAGTGTATTTTATTTTCGAAATATAATAAATTAGATTAATATAAGTGGTGTTCGTCTAGTGTGAATTGTAACAAATTTAATGGTGTAACATAAATTCTATTGATAATTAGATTTTTAATAAATATTTTTAAGCAATTCTTCATATCGCAGTCCTATAAAGGTAATCATTAATATGCCTATTCAGAAACGAATGCGAATCGAATAGTGCACTGTTCGTATTTAAATTCTTTTATTGCATACTGTCATCGCTGGTCGCAATTTTATATCGATATATATATATATATTTATATAATGTCAATCTATTTTTTAACCGTTTATAATTGGTTTATATCAATTTTTTTGTGAAATTTTCTTAGTTTTTTTTATAAAAACATGATTATTAGAATTATTGGATTTTTTATGAATAAAAATAAATTAAAATGTCTTTAAAATTATTTTGTGAATTTTCAAACATTATAATAAAATATCTGGATCATGATTAAATTTTATTAAGTCTTTGAAGAGGATTTTGCAAAAGTATATTTCTCAAGAGTAAAGTAATTGATTAAGTTCTAAGTTATCATTATTAAGTATTAGTTTTTTTTTATCTAAGTTCAATTTTTTTTATATTGAAGTTAATTGGTTCATTTGTTTTTTCCCCTAATTTTGTTATAGGTTACAATGTTGGTTGTTATTAGTGGAAGTTTCAATGTTCAGCCACTGCCCTTTGCAATATATCTCCGGAGTTTGATGAGGTGGATACGCTGGGCTCTAAATCAAGGACCCCCGCTTGTGATCCTACCGCGGCTGCCGAATGTACGTCCCAGAAAACTATCGGTTGTTGGTGGCTCTGAGAAATATCCCTAGCTCTTCTTTTGTTATTTAAGGAGAAGTCTCTGATGGAATTGTGGTGGGAGTCTCCCAGAGGCGTTCTGGATCTTCTACCGATGGCGGGGCATTGGCTGCGAAGATGATCATCTCCGTTGCAGTTGAAACATCTCTTTTTTCTGGATCCTGGAAACTGCGTTATGTTTTCTTTCGGCTCCCTCGAATTAATGTGTATACCATTATTCTTCGTATCATGGTAACTTGGATATATGACCGAAGTCTACGAGCTGTGAGTTTGTGTGCATGAGAATATATTTAATATTCAAACTTCCAATTAATTTTACAAAAAAAATTAAATATTTTTATGATTTACAAACGTTAATTGAATTTAAAAAAAATTCTACACAAATAAATAATATACTTTGTTTAAATTTCTTATAAACAAATAACTTTTATCACCAATACAATGAAAGTGATTTCACAAACTAGACCAGGCAGACAGTGGGAATAAAAACAAACAAAATTTTATCACCAAAATATTATTCCCCACGCGTGCCTCATATAGTTCCAATCTTCGAATCTCAACATCGTTCCTCTTTCTTTTCACTACGGCAGTTGTCTGATAACGAACGAAAATAACTGGGGACAAAATATAAATTACAAGAAATGGAAAAAGATTTTTTGTTTTAAAAATAACTTACCGACACTGCTTATCAGAACTTTAGAGAAAGATAAACGAACACAAAAAATACAAAATCTGGCAGACATTGCCGATAAAAATTTTTTTTTACTACCATTAACTAATTTCTCTTTCATTTGATACAATGTTAATAACCAGACCAAAGACATAAAAAAAAACTTTTCTATTCAAATAGATATGTATCTCTTGTATACCCTCTCTAGATCAGATCATATACACATTAACGAACTTATCTCTTGTATGAAAAAGGGAAAAATATTAATTTTCTTTCAGTATTATCTTTAGCCAATTCGCTATCAATAATGAAAAAATCCAAATAATTATTATGAGGTCCAATTTTGGTAATCCAATCCCACTCCATAATAGTTTCCACATTTTTTTCTACTATCCATAAATCCAAACTTATGATAGTATCATTGAAAACAACATCCCAATTGAGTTTTACCTAAAACTTCAATTATCGAACCATCAAAATGTTTTAAACACATGTTTTCTTTCATAATAATGCCATTAGGCCACATTATTGAAATGTTCGCTCCAGTGTTAAACAGTAATCAATGTACCTACAGTCAATCCTCAATTTAACCCTAGGACACTTACATGGTCGACTTATTCTTTCAGTCATTAAAATTTCACAGGTTTTAATGGGCTGATTACTATTTATTCCATCTGAAATATCAATTTCATTAGAATCTAAATTTTGGTATAAATTCAACTCGGAATTTAGAGGCTTTTTACTAATATTGCTATATTTTTTTAACAATATCACTAGGATATTTTTCCCATTTGAAGTTATCAACTTCCTTTTTGTTTGGATATTTAACAATACCCCTAGGATATTTTTCCCATTTAAAATTATTATAACTCCTTTTATTCAAGTTATAATTATAATAAAGATTTTCACTTTTATCATCATGATAAAAAAAATTTCTATTAAAACCACTGCTTTCATGCGAATCATATCTCATTTTAGCATTATTATACAATTTATTATATTTTGAATTCTCGGTCTCCTACCCACTATATGATTACACCAACAGAAAAACTGATCATGATAATTTGAGAGCGATTAAGTTATTAAATCAGTGTATATTAATTTAATTTATAGGGCAAATAGTTTTTCTTATAGGTTCTTCTTTGTAAGGCATGAGATTTTTTGACAGTAAGTAAGTTCCTAAAAAAAAACCTTTCACAAACAGTTAGTGAATACCTTGTTAATCACATCACCATTCAGATTAATAGTTTATCAAAAGAAATGACAAATGATTCAATTTTATTTAAAAAAATTAATAATTTTTCTGATTGAATTGAATATTCAATCAAATTATTAGAATAATTCGATTGGAATAAAATATATTATTTGAATAATTTGTCGAATATTAACTATTCGTATTATTCGAATTATTAGTTTTATTTAAATTGAATAATTCTTTGTTCGTATTTGAAAATAAATAATTTACTATTCGATTCGATTTTGAAATAGATCTAATTAAAAGCTACGCTCTGTATGTCTCTGATATATTTTCCTTTTATAGTGCAATAAATGGATGCTATTGAGCCATTTGTTTAAATATATATATAAAATATAGATAAATATTAATTCTACTAGCGCCCACCAAATACTTTTTATTTTTAAGCCCTGCCTGGGCATAATGATAGCATTATACAACCAGGCCGGGATTCGGTGTGGATCAGTAAGTATTTGATATAATATATTAAATAATATTATTTATGGTATAATTTATTTATCCCATATAAAATATTTTATATTTTTTTCATGACTAAAAATTTAATGGTGAATGATGTTTTCCGGCACAAGGTAGTAGAGATATAAGAAAATATAATTAAACCTGCCATCTTCATTAAGCGGAATTTTATCTATAGTATAGAGGGTTAGTTTGAGGTTAGGTGTATTCCCATCGATATAATCGTAAAATGTGTCGTAAGGAATGGGAAAACTAAAATACTTTCCCACCGCCACTTCGTGCTGATCTAAAGGCCTTCTAAGGGAAGGTGGAAAGCCTCCTAAGTTAGATTTCCCCTGCTGTGACTCTACAAACGCACCGATCGAATTCATCATATTTTTAGAGCTACCGTTGTGTACATTATTATTATTCATTTCATTGATCGCGTTATTCTGATTGACATTGCTATTATTTCCGTTATGAAAGAAAGTAGCAGAATGTAAAACTTGTGTTTTGCGGTCGATTTTAAATGGCACCGACTGAGAACCGTTGACGTTATAAGAATCTAAAAGATGATAATTTTCTTGCCGGATATCCAAATTACGTAGATTTTGTTGGTTACCAGAGTATAAAGCCGAATCATCGGAGGATAATAAAGCGTTGTAATCGTATTCATCCTTAATCAAATCGTTAAGCGATCGTTTTAAAATGCGGTTGTTAATATAGGTAGAAGTAGATAATAATGACGAGATATTGATCATGGATTTCAAGATGTCAAATATTAATGTTTCGTAGAGACCACGAGAAAAGTGGTAAGGCTGTGGCGTCTGTATCTTTATCCTGACCAAAATAGATATTCTGTGTTTGCCTTGATCGTTAAGGTTACTATTATTTAAGGTATAAGATTTTTCTTGTGGTTTAACAAGTTGTTGCGATAATACAATAACTGGTTTTTTATTTTTATGTTCAAATGGAAACTTATGAGTCACGTTTATATAAAAAAAAGATTCCGAATTTGAGATTTCATTCAAAATTCTGAAAATGGTGTCATGTTGAAAGTTTCCGTCTCGCGTGATAAGAAAGCAGGCTTTAAGATCAGAGTCTGATTTATTCTGCCTTTTGATTTTTGATCCCCAATCAATTTTCTAATTAATATATATATATATATATATTTGTAAATGGATGAAGCCATATAATATTAACTTTATGTCTGTATATTACATCATTCATTCAAGCTAAGTATATTAAAATTTATATTTAGGTGACAAAAAAAACTTTTAAATTACAAGGTAGCAGGTAAAACACGCAAAAATATTAATACGTAAATTATACCTCGATTCGTTACTGTAATTAACGTTTTTTTTACTATTTTCCCCAAAAAATGAAGCAGAAAAATTCCCCGCTTTTAACATTTTTAATTTTTTTTATATAATATGAGAAAATGCAAATGTTACTTTAAAACAGGTATCCTAACCTAATCTGGACCGTTATTATTTATCAAACAAAATCGAAATCTTAACCATTAAAATTTCGTAGCTCGAACCTCCAAACAAGTCGGTGAACCGATTTGATTGGTATCCTAACTTTTAAAAGATCATTATCAATTATAATGATTGGTTGGGCAGTATCAGTCGCCATTTTTATATTAAATATTTATATCATAATTAGAAAATATGGTTATTTATTATAATTTATAAATTATGTATATTTGTACGTGCATAATAGTGAACTAAGCGTTAGTTGTTCTATATCTATATAATTGGGTCTTAGTGATAACATTTTTTAAAATATACTACTTTAATTTATGCGAAATGGTTCAAACCGTTTTTAAAAATTCAAACTTATTTTTATAACTGTATAAGCCTCCATTTATTGGAAATTATTGCATTTTTTTATTAAGCCATACTTTTTAAATAGATTTTATAATGACAAAATAAGCTACAATAAAATTTATCTGTAGAAAGAGTTTTGGGCATAATGAATGTTAAATTCAGGCATTTTTATAGTCGTCTTTTTTTTTGACATAGATTTACATTTTAAATATTACAAGAATAATATAATAGTTTCATTTTATTACAAAATAACAAGTTTTAAATAATCGTATAAATGACTGTAAAGAAGAGAGTAATCAGGATAAAGAAATTATTTTATCTCAAACTATCTATTTTTTCAAACCATATTTTTCATTATGAACAACAAAGATAGTTCAGAGCTAACCTTGAATATTAAAGAAATTTTTAATAATTCTATCATTGTAAATTTTTAATTCATATGTAAATGTTAGCGTCAATGTGTTTTTTTCGTTATTTTTTTTTAACTTTAAATCAGGGATGTAAACCCGTATCCTGACAAAATATATTAAAATAATATTTTTTAATAAAGAATTTTGTGGAATTATTTTTTTCTTTGCATCTTTCAAAATTTTTTGGTTTTCATAATTCCATTTTATATTATGAATGTAGTAATTTTTTTACTTGAAATTATGTATGTGTATTTATATGAAATATAGAATAAATAGATGTAAAAAAAAATTATGTAATTTTGAGTCAATATTTCTTTATGTTCTCCAAACCCTGAACCCGGACCCGACCTTTTTTTAAAATTTTATTCCTGAACTCGAACTAGGGCCCATATTTTTTTGTTTAGGGCGTTTTTTAAATTTTAAGAATCTGAATTTTACAAGAAATGTATGGTTTAGAATACCTACCCTATGAATTTCAGACAATTTTGATAACTTGAATACTTAGAATTTATATAAAAAATATATGTAAAAACTAATATAAATTATATTAAGAAAAGTTCACAGAAAAATTTTCTAAAAACCCCAAAGTAGGTTTTATACACAGCTGGAATACATTTCCAACATAACCATATTTTAAAACGCGTTCAAAAAATGATTTAAGGTTGAAAAAATAACATATTGACAGTAAATAGGGAGGGAAGTTATGTATAACGTTGAACGTTTTTGTATTTATCGGTTTTTCAAATATTAGATAGCGTCGCAATTAGGGGTGTACCGATACCACTTTTTGGAGTTAATCTATAATATACATAATAAATAATATACATAATAAATAATATACATAATAAATAATAAACAAATAATATTATAAAATTTGGAATAAATATTTAAAATAATATTTAACATTAATATATCGAAGATTTCTTTTTAGAAATAACAAAATTTCCAATTTATCAGATCAGCCTGTAGCGATGGTAATTGTCAATATCACCAGCTTCACTAAAAACAGATTCTGAAGAGACTATCGCACACTTTTATAAACAGAATGCACAAAAAAATAACGATATGGTAGAATGTTTATTAATTAATTATTCAAAAAATTTACAAAAAAATGGATTTCGATTTTATTTATAAAAATAAATGATTTTAGATATAACTTATTTTTAAAATTTGATAACATTTTAATTTTGTTAAAGACGCTATATATCGGATCTGATCGGGAAATTTTATAATATTAGCCGATAACCAAAATTTTAAAATGGGTGAAATATCGGCCCGATCCGATAAAAATATCGGTAAATCCCTAGTCGCAATTTTATGGTTAGTTGTTTTCGAGTAGCATCTGTGGCCTAGTAAGTTGGTGCGCGTATCACTAATCAGATAGTTATAGATTCGAATCAGAGACCTTCATTTTTTAACCAAGCCTAGCTTATGCCCGCAGTAAAAAAAATTTTAAGCCCCAGGCCTGGCTCATATCTATTATTAAAAAAATCACAAGCCCATAATACAAAAAAATTTCCCAAGTCCGGCCTAAACCCATTCCAAAAAATTATTTTATTGTATTTAATAAAAATAAACAATATATTAAATTTATTTTGTAAAATTTAACTATGGATAAAAGACGAACAAATTTAATTAGTAAGATAATATAGAAACATATATATATATATATAGTATTTTTATATATAATGTAGTAAAATCAATATAATATTCATATCAGAAGACAAATATACCAGCAACAAATTTTTTAAACAAAAGGTTTTTGCAAAAAGTAAAATTTATGATTTCTCCATCATCAAACGACGAAGAAATATATGGTTCGCCCGCAATTCTTGACGGGATGGCTACTAGTTTATTTTTTTCTCTCTCTTTAGCTTTCACCTTTTCTGGTGGTAAGCTCCTTCAACATCTCTCTCCACTTTATGTTATTCATACAATCTCTTTTATCTAATTTATACTTCTTTATATTGACTCTAATTTTATGACCCCATTGAAGTTTTGGCCTTCCTCTTTTATGTTTGCCCATCACTTCCAAACTCTCAACCTTATTTCCTGTGTAGTTCATAGGCCTTCTCATTGTGTGCCCATACCACCTAAGTCTGTTTACCATTAACTTAGTCTTAATGGGCACAACCTTTAAACTACTTAGTATTCTTGTACTGCGCACTTTATCCTTTCTTGTTAACCCAGCAATCATCCTCGGCATTCTAATCTCCATAGTTTGTAGACTTCTCTCGTCTGATTCCTTGGTCGGCCATGTTTCCGAACTATATAGAATAGTTGGTTGTACTATGGAACTGCAAATTTTTCCCTTTAATTTGTGTGGGATTCTTTTGTCAAATAGCACTCCAGATAAAGATCTCCACTTTAACTACCCTTGATTAATTTTACACTTTATCTCTTTTTCTATTGTGCCGTTTGTTTGTATAGTGGAGTCCAAATATTTGCAGCTTTCAATTGCCGATATCTGCCATATCTAGGGCTCTGCCGATCCACATATTTTTCACCGATCCGATCAGATATTGCTTCAAAACCGATCCTATATTTATACTGATTTTTCATTACCCCCCTTTGAACCAAATGTAATTAAGAAATCAATATTTTTTATGCAAAAAATCGAATTATGCATTTAATTTAATTTTTTTATTCCTACAATTAAGATATAATTTTAAAAAAATATATTTAATAATATATTATATCCATTTTATGTTGGTAAGAATTATAAAATTGTATTTTTTATTAAATATGAGAGCCAGTCACCTGCAGAGATACCAATTGAATGGCCCGGCCCAAATTTTTTTTTATTAATTTTTTATGGCCCTGCCCGGCTTTTTAAAAAAAAATTTCAGGCCCGGTCCGGGTATATTTTAAAAAATGGCCAGGCCCTGCAGGTCTCTGATGAGATCCTCTAGATTTTCTGGCAATAAGCTTTTAAGATATGGACTAACTATAGAAATAAAATTTAGAGGGTGTTGTGCATTTGTATTGTTTAAAAAAAAATATAATAATGTAAAATAAATATACATAACATAAAATAAAAAGATCGGATCGGTTTTTATAGGCATCGGCCTGATCCGATATTTCTGGAAAACGCTAAATATCGGCATAGCCCTATTTATATTAATGCTCTCTGTTTCATCTCCTCCTATCACCATATACTCCGTCTTTTCTGTTTACTTTTAGTCCGTGCTTAGGATATTTATCCAACTCACTAATCTTTCTTTCATTTCATCCTTGGATTCAGCAAGTATCACAATATCATCTGCAAATATCATATTCCACGGGAATATTTGTGGTATAGACTGTTATAATACCTCTATTACTGTTATGAAGAGATGTGGGCTGAGAGCCGACACTTGATGAACTCCCTCGACTATTGTGAAGTACCAGTTGTGCTATGGACCATTCTATATTATTCTTATATATTTTTCGGGTATCTTTTTGTGGCGTAGCGCCCACCATATAAGTCTTCTTGTCAAAGACCTTTTCTAGATCGAGAAGAACCATGTGTAGCTTTTTGTCCTTTTCTCTATATTTCTCACTCATTTGCCTAATTGCGTGGATTGCATCAGTCGATCTTCCAGGCATAAAGCCCTCTCCTATATCAACTATGTCTCTTAACCTTTTTTCTAATATTTTTTCGTAAAGTTTAATACAGTGTGACAATTTTGACAATTATGTGGATCCCCTTTGAAGATAGGAATTAACTCTGCTTCCATTTTTGAGGAATCTCTTCATTTCCCAATATTTTATTGTACAGATTTGTAAGGAAATGTATTCCTTCATCTCCTAGTGCTTTAAGGCTTTCTATTGGAATATCATCAGAACCCCTTGCTTTGTTGTTTTTCATATGTTTGAGGCATGTGATTATTTCTTGTTCCATCACTGGTTGTATAAGGTTTTGACATGGGGAGTGTTTTTTAAAGATTTGGTATAATTAATTTGATTAAAACATTTTAAAAAAAATTTATATACAGATATTTATTATTCCATTATCTTACATTATATTAAGTCCCCAGGGTGGCCTAGTGGGTTCATGATGTGTGAGGTACCAGGTTCAATCCTGATAAGATACTGTAAAAATTTTCTTAAATCTTCTGCAAGAGATTAGCATGCAATCAATCTGGGTTTTCCTTGTACCACTTTAATATGTTATTATATGACTGTCCTTTTTCTTATAGTAAATGTTGGTTAAGGCATGGTCAAAGGCTTGCGCAAATTTCAGTACATGCTCTCCTTCATCATTTCTTTCTACATATCCAAAACCACCATGATGCCTTTTGTAGCTATGTCTTGTTTTTCCCACAGGTGTATTTAAGTCTCCACCTATTATGACTAGGTCATCCTTAGGGATTTCCATTAAAGCTTCATCAAAGATAACTCTAAAGTCATCTTTCTCTTCTTCTTTGCAACCCGTTTGAGGAGCAAATACTGAAAGAATGTGTAGTATTTATTGACCAATTCAGAGTTTTATTTTCATTAGTCTATCAGAGATCCTGTTGACTTCTACCACTGAGGAGGTTAGATCTTGACTGAGGATGATGCCGACACCATTCCTATTGCTAACAATTCCATTATAGTACAATTTATACCCATCTCCAATTACACTGTGTGACAAATTTTGACTTGATTTTTTGGGAGAAAATCAAATAAACATGTTTTAAGACAGTTTTTTATGCATATTCTTAATCTGCTGTCAGTTTTTTTCTAGCACGTCAGGTTTTTTTATTTATTTTAGGTTAAAGTGGCCAAAAAGGTCATTTTTAGCACTTTTTTAAGGTTTATAACTTTGGTTCTAATGATCCCTACAACTAAAAAATTATCTTAATTTTTGCAGCAAACCTTCCTTATTATTATTATACATTTTTTTTTATAAAATCCTTACTCAATTTTTAAACAACCTATATTTTTTAAATTTACCTTTATTTATAAAATCTTTTTTAATATAGTTTACATTTAATATATTTATTTATTGTGGCTTTCATTCTCAAAAAAAAATTAATGAAAGAAATTAAATGTTTATGAAAAATTAAGCGCGAAAAAAAACTCCTTTCTTCCTACTCGTTATAGGCATTATTATTTATTGCCCATACTACGGATTCAAGGTACTCCATTGGAAAATCATATATTTTGGTATAAATTGATTAAAAAAACAAATATTTTTAAATACATCTAAAAATGATAAATATTAATAAAAAATATGAAAAAATTACCAATTATTGCATTTTAAATGAATTTTGCTTCAAAAATGCTCAATTCAAAAAGAGTACAAATTAAAAAAGTGGGTACAGACATCTGATTTTGGTATAAATTGATCATAAATGCATAAAATATTACTAAATACAACTAAAAAAGATAAATATTACCTTAATTTTGCTTTAAAAATGCTTTATGCATAGAAAATTCAATAAAAGTGTACAAATTAAAAAGTTCGAAAATATCTGTACCGACTTTTTTAATTTATAGATTTTGGTTGAATTTTCATGGCAGTACTTTTAAAATATAATTAGAATTATATACAATCTTGAGCATATTTGAAGCAAAATTATATAAAATTTATCTTCTAAAGTTAATAATTTTGATAGTAATTTAAATTGAAAACTTAAGGCCCCCAAAACGAAATTCTTTACCATTTTTCTCAAAAACCAATAGATAAAAAATTAGTAAATTTATAAAGAAATATAAGTTTAACACTATCACCAATTTACAGGGATTTTTATTCAATACTTTTTAAAATATATCCGTATAAAGACCTAAATTTTACCATTTTTGAAATTTCGAAAAGTTGTCTTTATACGGTAATATTTTTAAAACTTGACGTGTATGGAAAATTTGGAAAACGGATTCAAACTCAGCGTCAAATTCTGCACCAAAACTTGTTTTTATTTTCTTCTCCCATTTTTCTTGTCACACAGTGTTATTAAAGTCTTCTGCCCATTTCGCCTCTTGTATACATGCTATATCAACTTTTCTCTTGTTCAACATGGATGCCCTCTTTACTTACCTTTAAGTGTACCAATATTCAAGCTTGCTAACCTTATTTTTATTGCTTTGACTTTATTTTACTTTTCACATGATGGAGGCCTTCACCCTGTGCATCACTTGGTTGAAACACCCTAGCTTTCATATTTATATTTTTGTGTGTATCTTTCATTTGGTGTATTGGACAAGTATCCTACCAGGGTGGCATTTCTAAGCTCAGAAATTCATCTTGTCATATGTCTTTACACATCAGTTATCAAAGAAAAACCTGAAAATTTTTACAGTCTTATCAGGATTGAATCTGGTATCTTCGGTTTCCAAGCATACATTATAAACCCACTAGGCCACCCCAGGAACTTTATATAATGTAAGATAATGGAATAAAAAAATCTCTATATAATTTTAAATGTTTTAAATAAAAAATTAATTATCCCAACTCTTTTAAAAAAAATATGTGTCTATATTTGAGTAAAATGTAAATTATCAATAAATAAAATGATTTTATTTTATATTGGATATTTTACTTTATAAAGATAAGTGCCTCAAGTTATTTATTTACTATAAGTTTGTTCTATGTAAAATGATGGAATAACCAAATAGACAAACACATAAAAATTTTGATAAATATATACAAAATATTTTGCTTTATAAAATCATTAATGGTTAAATTTATAAAAAATATTGGCCAATCTGATATTTTTTAAAAAGTGAGTATTGGTGTCAATCCAATATGGAGATGTAACATCAGAGCAGCCCAATTGAAATATTGTAATTATCTAAAATTTATAGATTCCTATAATTTAAATCAGAAATGCTCAAATAGATTTTTGATCAACTTTTAATAAAATTTCAAATATTTTTTAAAAAATGTTTTATGAGTAAATCTTTTGTGATTTTTATGTATAAAAAATATTTCATGATGAAATCACAAATTTAAAGATTTTTAAAAAAATATTCAATTCTATAATTTTCAAAGATTTTTTGCTCAATATTAATTGTCCAAAATCTTTGAAGATTTTTTTTCAAACAGATTTAAACATAAAAGTGAAGGTATTTGGTATATTTTGTATAAAAGTCAAACTCTCTAATTTTATGCAAATTAAGTAAATAATTTACTCTGAAAATATAGAATTGACTAATCTAATTCATTTAGATTTATAATTTGTGTGAATATTAAAACCATAACAAATGATAAAAATATATTATAAAACCATTTACTTGATTAAGTTTATCATCCAAATAGGTATAAATAACCTCACATTTGGTGGAGTCTATATTCTCTACATCCTGAAGTGTGTAATGCTTATTTGCTTGTAATAATAGGAGACATGGATTCAAAAAAATTGAAAAAAATGCTAAGTATAATTCAAATTTCATCATAAAGTCACATTTTTGTTTACAACATAACAAATATTAGTTATCTTTAATTTAATATATAAATATTAAAATCAATTTATTCTATTACCTTTAATTATCCATAAATATTGTTATTCAAAGCCGTTTAACCTTTTTGCCATTTCGCAAAATTAGGATTGATGCAAACTTCGAGATGTAATATTTTGTTAAATTTACTGAGTAGTGCTCAACGCAATGGCTCAACGTTACCTAATACAATTCGAAAGAAAGAAAGAAAGAAAGAAAGAAAGAAAGAAAGAAAGAAAGAAAGAAAGAAAGAAAGAAAGAAAGAAAGAAAGAAAGAAAGAAAGAAAGAAAGAAAGAAAGAAAGAAAGAAAGAAAGAAAGAAAGAAAGAAAGAAAGAAAGAAAGAAAGAAAGAAAGAAAGAAAGAAAGAAAGAAAGAAAGAAAGAAAGAAAGAAAGAAAGAAAGAAAGAAAGAAAGAAAGAAAGAAAGAAAGAAAGAAAGAAAGAAAGAAAGAAAGAAAGAAAGAAAGAAGAAAAATTTCCAGGCTTTCATTATATTATTTTGGCTAAAATCTCAAACGGGAAATTTTAAAATAGACTTAAGTTGGGCCGTTTTCTAAAATAGACGCTAAATCTCGCTATTTAACAACACTAGTAAGAATTTTCCGGCATGACTAGGTCCTTTATAACTTTTTAAAAATATGTCTAGATAGGTGTCGGGCTTATAAACCACTACCATATATGTACTCTTCTTCATGAGAAATTACGGTTCTTATTCCTAATGTTATATATTTGCTAAACTAATTTATATACTTAGATAATATGATTGAAGTGCCAGCACAGTTCTTTCGGGAAAATATAATAAATGGTAACCAGTGTGCTGGCACTTCAATCATATTATATAAGTCTATAAATTAGTTTAGCAAATATATAATATTAGGAATGAGAACCGTAATTTCTCATGAGAAGAGTACATATATGGTAGTGGTTTATAAGCCCGATACACTGACCTAGCTAGACATAAGAACTCTGGAATTATTTAAACATTATTACTTCAATGTTTCTTTTAATAATTGATTCAATGATTTAGCCCTATTGATAAAATGATAAATAATTTCAATAATATTTTGCCAGATAAGAATATAAGATCCTTATTGACAATGCAAAAAAATTAAGAGAGATATATAAGCTTTATAGTTGTTGGGGGAAAAAGATATAGATATAAAAATATAATGACCGGAAAATTTTAAAAAAATTTAACGGGCAGTGGTGGAATTTTCGCAAAACTTTAACGGCCCGGGCCTAACTAAAACTTTTACCGACAGGGCTGGGAAATTTTTTTAAAAAATTTAAGGAGAAGCGCAAAAAACTTAACTAACCGAAACGGGTTGGCCGAGCCTAGCATTGCAGATCTCTAGTGGAGATCTTTAAATCTATTTCGGCAGCAGGCTAGTAAGAAGGTGCTTATATTATTAACTATATAATGTACTTGTCATAGTATTTTAGGTTACTTAACCTATTCCCCGCTTTTTAGGTTGAAAGTAAACATTTATCGTATGCATTTATTTTACTATTTTAATTTCTCTCTAGCAATCTCAGGAGGCTTAACATTAAATAAAAACATATTTTTATTTTTGGAAATTAACTTATTTTTTTTAGATAATTATTTTAAAAATTAATTTTTTCCCTTTTCCAAAATTATTTTTTATTATTTTCTGTATTTAGAGGGCTTTCTAAATATTTAAGAGGGCTAGAGCCTCTGCGCTCCCCCCCCCCCCCCAAATATTGATAAAAAGAAAAAAAATTATATTTATGACTATATAAAAATATTAATTTTTATAACAATAATAAAGAGAAATTCAAATTTAACACTTTTAAAAAATATTAAAAAATTAGTGTCCAGGGGCCTCTGTCTCTACTCAAAATTTTGAAAGAAAGCTAAAAATAAAAATAAAATTAGTGGGGGAAAGGGATATTAGACTCTTGTACCCTCATAGCAATACCCCCCCCCCTCCTTGTAAGGCATTTTGAGTGTTTTAGTGGAATGAAATGACTGAATGGGAGTATATTAAATCTATCCTAGCTTTATCATATTAAGATAATCTCAAAATGACATTGAGAGAAAATAATAATTTTAAATATTTCCTAAATAGAGGAGATTTAATACATAGATATACATATCATTCTTCCAATAGAAAAAGGAAATGAGATGCTAAATAATCTACACGCGTTGCCAGTTTGGTCTAAACAGATAGCTTAATATATATAATCGTTCTTCTGATAATTTTTGGCCTTTAGGAAATAAGATACAATTTAAAATTTTTTATAGTATATTGTGTTCATATCATTATTGTTAATAAAATATCCGCTAGATGGAGGATATTTTTAATTTCGTATTTTAACAATATAAAACATTATAGAAGTTTATTTTTCATGATTAAAATTTGGTTGATACTAACTTTAATCAGAAAATGCAAAAATTCCCGAGTTTTCATCATTTCTTTAAGAATATTATCACACAAGTATATTCACATTTAGTCATTTTTATAAAATTTTAAATATTTTATATTTTTTAAATAATATTATAGGAACTAACAAATATAACCATAAAAAAATTTGGGGTTTACATCATTTCTTTAAGAATTATATCAAAAATAAGTCCATTCTCAGTTTAGTCATTTTTTAAAAAAATTTTATAATTTATTTTTTTAAATAATATAATTATAAAAAGAAAAAAGCATTATAATCAAACATAACCCAACATCTTCTATAAGTGTAAGGTAGAGATACGTTTAAGTCTAGCCTGATAAAGCATATCGACCATTAGAACTTGATAATCTGGCATTACTCCCATACCATACATTAAGTTTCAGATTACAATTAGTTTTTGTATTTCATTAGCAGTTATTGGAAGTTTTATAGGATCTCTTAGTAAGATTTGATATCATCCAATCCTCCTATCGAGTCTATTGAAAATAAATTAATAGCTTCGAATACTTCATGTAGGATTTATTTGATAGAAGATGTTATAACAAGAAAAATTTGATATTGACATTTGCTGGATGTTTGGAAGGTAATTCATTTTTGGGTGTATCAGGATATATTAGAATACTATTTTATATTTAAAGCTAGCGATTAAATTCGTTTATAAAAATATTATTGCTCCTATTTAATTGCTCATAATTAAGGCTGAAAGGGGAGAAACTGTACTTAAAATTTTCATAAATATTTAAAATTAGTTTCAATATGTAAAAACTCTACTTATTAAGATATTGACTTTTTAATTTAGTAGAGATATTATGTAAGTAAAAGTTTTGAACATCCCCTCACCTTATGACTCACAATCTAACGTGAAGATTAGTAGTTAATAAATTATTTCCATTAACTATTATGTTAAAAAATCTTTAAAATCTTAAAATCCATACTTATATGTCCTATATGAGCCTATCAAATGAAAATAAAGGCTAAATCAATAAAAAATGTTTCGAATAGATAATAAATATCTGTATTTAGTATTTAATTTAAATATTATTTAATATAGTCGGCAATGTTTTTAAAGTGAAAAAGTAATCAATACAATCAATTTCAACGATACACCTCAATAGTTGATAAATCATTACCCATTGTACCGAAATGATATTTTGCCATTATAGAATCACTACTTTAAAAGATGTGATTATTAGAATAATTTTGTATTTTTATATATTTCATATATTTTAAAATGTTTTTTTCTATTTCATGTCATATTTTATTGATATTCTTAATACAATATATAATTTGTATTAAAATTCTTTTTCCTATTTTTTTAAATTTTTCTAATATTTTTTAAAATATTATCATTTTATTTTATACAAGAATATAAGATAAAAATAATTAAATAATATCTAAAGACTGGATCTTATAATTTCAAAAATTTATTTTATTAATTCATTGCTTCAAACATATTGGCGCCAATATTCCATTTTTATAAAAAAAAACATGTTTTATATTTATCACTTAATATTGGTCAAAAATATAGAAAAAATTATAGGAGAATGACTTTTATTTTCGGTATAATTCTTAAGGAAATGTTGGGAACTCCAAATTTTTTGCACGTTATATTATATAAGTTACTATCTACAACATTATTTAAAAAAAATAAAAAATTAAGATTTTTAAAAAAATATACTAAACTGAGAATTAACTTTTTATCTTTGTACAATACTTAAAGAAATAATGGAAACCCAAAATTTTTAGCGCTTAATGAATATTTAAGTTAATATCTATAGTAGTATTTTAAATAGAATATTTAAATATATTAAAAAATGACTGAGGATGGACTTTATTTTCGATATAATTCTTAAAGGAATTATTGAAACTCAAAATTTTTATATTATATAAGCCTGGGAGTCACAAATGGGGAGGAATCAGAAATTTCGATGAATCACAAATAGTGGTTAGTAACAAATGGCGATGGAGCACAAATCATGAGATATCAGATTTTATAAAAATATATAATATAGGTATGGTGCTAATCAACAGGAATGAAGGGGAATAATGTTAGGAGCGACAAATGGAGCTTAAAAAAGGTAGGATTCAGAATATATATAATTTTATTTAAATTATAAAAACATAATACTTTGTATTGTTATCTCAATCTGATTATAATAAAATAACGTAGTAATATAGTTTTTTAGTTAATTATACAAGATAATCAACATGAATTAAAAGGAATATTTTTCGGGGAGACAAATTGGAAAACTTCAAAAAAGCCAGGATCCTTGCTAATAAATGTAGAATCTTATTTAAATATCTTATATATATAGTCATATAAATTAGCGAACCACGTATCGTTTTTTTTACTAAGTAATACAAAAAGCAGTAGAAATAAAAGGGAATAATGGTAGGTGCCACGAAATGGCAAGTTTTAAAAAGGTAGGATCCTTAAGAATATATATATATATAATTGTATTTAAATAATAATAAAAAATACCATGTATATGGGGAAAGGAAGGTAAATGAAAAGAAAAAGGTAGAAGAAAAGGAAACTGGAAAAGAGAAGGGAAAGAAAGTGTAAAAGAAAAAGGAAAAAGAGGGAAATGAGAAAGCAAAAAAAAACGGTAGAGGAAATGGAAAAGAGAAAGGGAAAGTAGAAAGGGAAAGAAAAGTGTAAAAGAAAGAAAATTGGAAAAAGAAAAAGAAAAAGGGAACGGAAGAAAAAGGTAGAAGAAAAGGAAACTGGAAAAGAGAAGGGAAAGAAAGTGTAAA